ATCAATACCACAACAGTCCTTGTAATTTTGCTGCCTAAATTGCTATAAACTGCTGTTTAAATATAGCAAAAGTGGTTCAAATACAGCAAAAGTGCTGAGGGAGATCACTATCTACCTTTGGAGCAGAGAGCCTGGCCTGAATTTGTTTGCGTAAACCAAATCGGCTTTCAAATACCACTACGAGTTTAATGGAAGTAGAATGCGTGGCTCATCTCACGAAGGGACATATCAACGCCGAATGTTCTGTGCTTTTCATTCATCTCCATGCCTTTGTCTTCTATGTGCTTTCTGCTTCCTTTTTGAGCAAAGTAGGACAGGGCAAAGCCGAAAGTTCTATTTTTATTTTTATTCTCTATATTCGGCGAACACAATTTGAAAGGGTATAGCTAGCGTATACCTCGGAGAGGTTGAATGGAAGTAACCGCGGTTAACAGGAATTGAAGAGTTGTAGGAGAAAAGAGGCCAGACTGAAAAAAAGAATGGGTTTGTGGAGCTGGACGGCAAGAACTAATTTGATTCTTGCTGTGTTCTGGTGTGACTCAGTCGTTCAAATGAGGCCAGGTCGTTATGCGACATTTATTTTGTTTTGCTCATAGAATTCTGTCGTTTTTCTTCCGCTGCTCGTTCAACAGTGCTACATTTCATTATTTGTTCTCTTGCTTGCACCCAAATTCGCGTGGCTTCGATATAACAGCAAGACCTGTAATTCTACTGCCTATCTGCTCCTAATTGCGGGGTCAAAACGGTCGAAATGCAAAGAAAACCGTCGACCCCTGAACAAGTACCTACCTCGAATCAAGGCAGACGAGTTGTAGGAACTTGCTTGCTCCATGGCTTCACTAACCCGTATTTGAATTAGCCGCTACGCCGTAATCACGTTGCGTGTCATGGGGTGTGCGCGACGTAACTCGTCCAAATGCTAAGATTAGTCGCCAAAGCTGACTTTGTAAGACCCTAGCGCCATTGTCGCGCACTTTCGAGCCGCGACAACGGCACATCTGTGATACTCGTGGGCTACTCTATCCCACCCACTGAATAGATTCTTCGACACGACCTCTGCTGGGGGGTGCTGCTTTAGATCGGAACTATTCAGTTTGGCCTTTGATAAATCACCCACAGGCTTTATGGTTAGTGAGGAATTGGATTCAAAAGGGATTTGCTGGATGTGCCGTCATTGAAAAGTCACGTGAAATTCTGTTTGAAAATATCTCATTGGATTTGCCTGCATTTTCACATTCCAACATCAAATGGGTTTTGCCCTAGCAAGCAGTACGTGTAGGCTAATGCCCATCTTTCAGGCGGAAATGGATTCGTTGAGGAAAGAATTATGCGAACTACTTGAGAGTAAAAATAGTAAAACTCAGGTTGAAGCAGTCGCTGGATCACATACTAAAGGTTATCTTTCAGTAACTCCTGCTCTTCTCTATGAATGAATTTTGCTCAATTTTCTTCATTTAGAAAGTCACGACATTGGAAGAGAAGTAATCAGCGGCACGGGTAGAGCTACAAAGTGTCTGTCGGGGCCACAGAAAAGGCGTGCACGAAGCAGTAGTTACGACAATACAAAGTTAGTTTATGCTCTGCCATGTTGTTGTTGACTGCAAAATTTTGTAGGTAGTGCACTCAGTGACCATGTGAAGGAGCACTACGAGATCGCCAACTACTGAACGAACGTTCTTCCTTTCTCCACTTTCTCTCTCCCTCGTTCTCCCCTCCTCCCCCTCTTTTCCCTGCCCCTTCTCCTTTCAATAGGAAAGCACTGGTATGCTAGTCAGGATCCCGGTCTCATAGCCCCGTTCTCACACCCAGCATGTCCACTGATGTCGAAAGGGGTTTACGGACTACTTGATTTTTCCTCAATGGTCCTGCCGCGATGGCTAGAGCACAGACGATTAGAGAACGGGTGAATGCCCTAGGACTAAGCCTTGGAGAGGAGAGGGACCCGCGAGAGAGCGCAGAGGCGGTTTAAAGGGCTGAGTTCAAGTAGTCCGTCGACCAGGCACGGAAAGCGATCGAACCTGTATGTGCTGTTTGTTATAAAAATTGGACAAGAAGTGGCGGAGAAGAACGTTAGTGGGAAAAAAAGCAGACAGCACCACTGAAAATGCTTAAACTTCTTGTGAGGTCAAGAGTAGGTCACGGTGCTGTGAAGAGAGGGAAAACGCGATAGAGCGCGTTGTGCGTTAAAGGGCACAGACAACACAGGAGCTGGAATTGCTAAGAGTGGTAGCGGTCGCAGCGCTTTAGCAGAGGCTTTAGCTCCCTTGTCGCGCAATTTCAGTCTCAGCACTACCAATACGCCTGTGATTGCGATCCTGCTACCTCACCTGTGAGGAGAATTTCTCTATGGATTTAATCGCAACCCGTGCCTTCGAAATTTTAGTTAATGCTCTTGACACAGTTTCATCGCAGCTTCGGCACGCTTCCTCACCATAAAAAAAACAGTGATCTTCCCTTCAGTTGTGCTAACCTCTGCGGCCACACTCGCTTGCTTGCCAAACAAGTTGCTTTTGACAGCTCGAAAAGAGCAACAGCTTTCTGTAAAAGCAACTTTTTCTATTGTGCGCTTCCGCGCCCCTACCCGTACCATTGACTGGAATGTGGGCAGTCTAGGAGTGATGATTCTTTTGCGCAATCATATTTTGGGGTTTTCACAATATAATCTAAAAGGATACGCACAGAGATCTCCGCCCATTAGGAGCGCGATTCGTCTCCATGGGCACCCATCTGATGATTCTGCTTCCCTTTCTGAAACGGACTGAGGTGGCAGCAAAAAGAATGTTGCGATTGGTGAAAGACTTCGTGCAGATTGTCCGAAAAACAGTTGTGCACTCTCTGCACAAAAACTTTCACCATTGCAACATTCTTTTTGCGCGTCCATTACACTGCCAGCTGGGTTGTGTTAAAATAAAAAAATGTGAAGTCATGTCGGGGCTTTTTCATTGCGTAGAAGGGAGTCGATAAGTGTTACGGATCTTTGTTGTCAAAGATCTCTTGGTTTCAGTAGGCCACCACAGCTCGACGTTCGATGAATGGTGTTCTTCTTAGCTTTCCTTTTGATGCTGCAAGCCCAGATGATACAGGCGCCTTATTCGGCTTAACGTTTCGGTTTTTTCGCCTTCGTCAGAGCCTGGAAAGTCGGGATCGGTGCGACCTACCGCAGACATCATTTCTCATTTCGAAATAGTTTCCAGAGATTAGAAGCACTTAGGGTGCATCGTAAAACACAAGCACCAGTCGACTCACCTTAGAATGCACATTCCACTCTCTAAGTGCTTGTAGTCTATGGAGACTATTTCGAAGTTAGAAATGATGTCTGCGGTAGGTCGCACTGATTTCTGACTTTCCAGGCTCTGACGAAGGCGAAAAGGCCGAAACGTTAGCCGAATAAAGCTACTGTATCATCTTGGCTTGTGGCTTCAAAAGCAAACCTAAGAAGGACTCTCGGTATCAATACCTCGAGTCATTTCCTTACCAAACAGTGTCATCGACGTTTGTCGGATAAATGTACCTCCAGCTTTGCTTCATTCTGTAGAGAACACATGTTGTGATCTGTTGAGAAATCATCTACTTGTGTTTAGTGCCTCGGGTGACACAGTTCGGAAGCGCGCCTCTTTCCCGAGAACTGTTGAAGATGTGCATTGCGGTCTATCACGGGGCAATTTCGGTCAACGTAGGGACGAAGCTTCTGAGGCTAAAAGAGTTTTGGTAAGTGCCACTACTTTGTTTCCCAGCTATTTACTGATGCCTGGCCTACAGTCCATCAATTCAGAATCTTTCGCTATGCACTTCTTCTTTGTTTGAGTTTAATTCAAAAACAATTTAATTTCGTTTTCTCTTGAAAAAAAGGCACTTGGATTTTTTCGGTAATTCCAGGATCCTCGGTGTCGCATTGTTGGGAGTGAGTCGTTGCGTACCCTTCTTCAAATGCAGAACCCGAATGTAGTGGATGCCGTACAGTTTGTGCCAACGGTTGGTCCGCTTTTAACTTTATGTCATAACTGCAGGGTAACTATACGGTTTTCCTCCGTACAATTTGAGTGTTTTTAAGGTCACTGTGGGGAACGCTGCGAAATCTTTAGCTGAGCTTGCTATTGCCACTCCTGTCAGCTTTTCCTGCCTGGTACCACCTAATGACCAACCCACCAATCAATCAAAGAGCAGTGTGGTCGTGAAACGTCGCACAGGTCCAAGTATAGTGAAAGCTGTTAAACCGTCAAATAAAGTCAAGCAGGTTTTTTCAAATATTTGCTTCTTTTTATTTGCAGCTTTGTTGCTCTGCCTATTTTTTTATGGTGATGGGGAAAAAAAATGTTTAAAAAAAAGAAAAAGTGGTGAAGTCGGATCCTTTTTCCCATTAGTATTTTGGGGGACGAATTAGGGGCGATGTAGTGAATTATGAGGGGCCTTGAATTGTACGGAGAGCATGAAGCTAATACACCTATACTATTTTTCTTGAGATCGCTTATACGCCGACGCAATGTGAAAATGATTGAGCCATGACAGGATGAACTCCATGTTACGATGATGGTGAGAACTTAAAAAGCACTGGCCACCAACCATGTGTTTTGAAGGATGTGGTAGGCCAGAGGCCACATCGGCAACTTCAGTATTTGCCCACACCGCTGCAAAAGTATGCCTTTTATGGACACTCGACTGCCCAGTAGGCTCACAAATTCGACAAGTTTGGTATAACTTCGCAATTACTGCATAATGTATGTACAGAAGTTTTGCAGTTGCTTGTTGCTTGTGCAGCACCAATAACACGCTAGTTTTATCTACGTGCTCTGTTTAGTTCTAATTTTAGCCTATCGCATCGGTACGACCACTCTCATCAGATCACTACGTTAAGTCGCCTACGGTGAGTCTTCTGTGATCCTTGCGGCTATGCGAAATTAATAAAACGACTTCAGCACGTTGACGACAGCTTGATGTGCGCGCATCTCGGCTTTTTGTTCATTATTTTTGAAATAGACACTACTCCTTCAAGTTCTCACCACTGTTCAATTGATGCACTGTTTTCCGGATAAGATGATGCATCCAGAGTTTTGAAATATGAAAAATGCCAAATAAAACGACAAAAGATCCATACGGGTGGAAATCTGATGCGCATGCGCGTCATGCTGTCGTCAACATGTTACCTTGCAAACAACATAGCGACCCCTGTGTGAGTTATATCTGCCGAACGAGCACACCATCTCCATTCTCCTTTCGAGACTCTTTTCGCAAATGTCCTTGGACATATTTGAACACGTCGGAAGCTTTTCTGAAATCAGATTCCAGGAAATTGAGCGACCATAGGTCTCTGGCTGAATGTTGATGTCGAAAAAATGACGTTTTGATTCAGCAATTAATTTGAACAATATGTTCTTCCTAAGACTTGTTGCTCATGGCCTACGTCCTGAGGTCATAATTAGGGGTAGGCGCATTAATGGGATTTGTACAGAACAAAACAGTTCTGCTCAATTGCCCTCCTTGACCTCTATGCTGAGCATTGCGGGGTGAGTCAGAGGGAAGATGGTGTTGATCAGTTTCAACTTTCTGCTCTTTTTGTAACAATGAAGAAGTTGATTTTTCCTTCTTGGTGTTATCCGACTCTTTGTTTAGGAGGTTGTACTGGACGCGGACCACAATCATATAAATGCGCACCCTGGTGGTGACAACTCGCTGTCGCCTGAGAAAAAACGTAAGCAAGGGTGGTTTCCCCATAAGTAACTCAATCTAATTTGCTATACCTTCAGAGTGTGCGATTTCGTTCCACGACGATGAGAACAACATGGAAACGGTGGATGCACGATGGGTTATTGATCGCATTGCTCAATTACGGTTAAAAACCGAATCTACAGGTTGATACTTTCTTTTTAGTGTTCGTAGCATTCGTCCCTTGTTTTTGCTTTGCGGAAATCCTGCAGCGCCGGGGCAACCTTTTCCGTTTTGACT